CGTCTCATGGATTTTATTCCTACCATTATTGAGTAAAAAGAGTGGATCGAAATGCCTACCTGATAATCTAGAAATTACTACTGATTTTTCATCACATTTTGCGGGACGAAGGGCCATGTTTCGTAAACTTTACTTTACCAAAATTTCAGCAACTAGTCCGCCATCTTGCCATCATACGAGCACGCGATATCAGCGGCTTGTAGCATGGCGTATGCGCACACGTGGAATTTCCAGTGGCGCGATTTCACAAAATTACTTTCGTTTCCGTTTGGGTAAAAACAAAGTATCGATGAACTTTTTGGTAGTTTTTTGAAATGTCATCTTTCTCAAGCAGTCCACATCTGCTGACAAAAGAAAAATTAAAAAGTGCTCTAAAAGCCAATGGAATCCCACTACCGAAAACCGAGCAGAAAAAAGCTTTCTACGTCGAGCTGTATTTGCAGAGATTGACCTCTCAAAATGATGACGAATATTCCTCAGACGAGTCTGAAGGAACATCGGAATCTTCTCCGATCGGAGCCCATAAGGTACGTAATATAAACAAAATCCATTAATTAATTCTGCAGCAATATTAAATATTTAAGCTCTTTACGTTGACTTGTGTATTTCTGGGTCTGTATTCTCGTATTGTACCTGTGCGGCGCTAGGCGTCTGTGGTTTTGGCGGTTTATAAACTCGCAATTTGAAAGTTGCTGTGATTTGTTGTCATGAACATTTTTAGCAGGTGCAGCTTTGTTTGTTTTTGTACGGGGATTCGTATATTCTTTGAGGATGTCCTTTCATACGAGATAATTTTTAGCGTTTCTTTGCGCTATCGATAATTCTTGCAGCGGTGTCATTTTTTGGAGTACTTTTGATCACCTTTAAATGGCTTCCGTACGTTCTATGGTGATGTTTGAATAATATTTTATTCAGCTCCAAATGGCTCACCTTAGGGACTCAAGCTATTAGGAGATAGCATCGTTTGGTTATCATAGTATTTCTATTTAGAACTGAAGCATTTCTTGATTTGAAAATGCCAGACCAGGTGAGTTGGAAGTTTTAGTATAAATTTATACTATTTCCTCAGTTCCTTTATTATGAAATTACTAGCCGTTGTCGCTAAATGGATTCTTTGAACCACTTTGCATTGCTGTAATGTAAATATTAATTACCATACATGACACAATTTTAGCAGAAACACGAAATTTTTTTTTAATTGAGAATTAAAAGTATGTATATATTTACCTGTTTATTTATGGTTTTTTTTCTCAAGTCTTTGGGCGAATTTATCAAAACCTATATCATATCTGCCGGTTCTTTAACAAAGTTCTGTGTTAAAATTTGAAAAAAAAGGTTATTATTACGTGAAGTGTATTATATCACCACTATCAGTGTGAACTAGGTTTGCTTAACTGTGAACAATGAAATGAAAGTAAACAATCCCAAACCAAATCTGAAAATTGATAGCAGAAATAGTGTTTCTCAAAAAAGGCCAAAAGGTGGTTATTGAGATATTTCAGTGACTTCTTTTGAATATTGCATTTCCAAAATGCAGTTATAACAAGGTGATGCACGACCACAAGTCGTTTTGTAAGGTGGACCCTCCTTCTTTTGTTATTATCGTACAATTTTGATGTTAACTCTAGTCAGCTCAGTGCTTGGGAATCAGTTTACATTGTTATAAATATAAACCGTAAACTTGAGACTTGAAACATGAAAATTTAAATTTTTCTCAGTCTGAGGAAAACTGATTTCCTAAGGATGGCTGTTATCCCAATAGAGAGGAATTATCTGTTTGAGACAGATATCCTTTTTATTAGACCTATAAATAAACAGATAAAGGAGGCCAGTGAAGACAATCCTATTCTCAGATTAAGATGGATTATCTTTTTGATTCAGTTTATCTGATTGATAACCCATCTGAGATGGATAATCAGTATCTAGTGTCAAAATGACTGACAATACTATACTTTAGTACACATTAAACTTAGAGTTTCTCAATTTCTCTTCCTTTTTAACCCTTTCAGCCCCAATATAAACATACAAGTTCTCCAAACTGATCTCCATACATCTCCTTTAAGAATTAGTTAAGAGAGTTCAATGAAAGATCAAGGCATTTTTCTTTGGTTATTGTTTTATTAATTCTCATAACATTACTTCTTGACAATGTATGGATATTGTTGGGAGAAAATTGATGTTGATCACCATTGAGACTTAAAGGGTTAAATGTGCATGTCTCAGTAGTTATATCCCTGTTTTTTTCTCTTATCCAAATTGTACATGTAATCTCACTTTCAGAAACTTCCTGCTAAGCCAGCAAAAAAGATAGTCTTGAACAAAAGGGTAAAAGGTGGACTTCCCTATGATGTGTCTGCTCTGTCAGATGGAGATCTTGCCAGGCAGCTTAAATCCTTTGGAGCCACAATTGGCCCAATTACAGATTCCACTCGAGTCCTTTATCAGAAGAAGCTTGGTAAGTCTGTGGCCTAGCTTTTCTTTTACATGTATGTGAAATATATTCCTTCCCCTTTTTTTATCACAGTTGAGCCCCTGATATTGAGGTCCTTACATTAAGGATTTTGTGTGAAAAAAACTGATATATCTTTGGGCTCGTTTCTCAGTAGTCTGGGTAACTAAAGCAAAATATCAAATCAAACTCAAAACAATAAAAACATTGATCCTAGCTTACAAACCAGTTCATTTTGTTTTGTTAACTGATAGTGTGATCACATTATCTGCAAAACTGTGGAACCCTTGACCTTGAATGCAAACACAGCAGCTTTCTGTTGGGTTAATTACTGGGTTTTTCGAGAAACAGACCTCTCTACCTGGGTCTAATAAGTTGAGCTGCTCTCCATTCAGTTCTAACTTTTGAGTCCGTTGATTAACTCTTTTGGCTTATACATTCAAATGAAATTCTTTGACAGAAATTTTTGGGAACACTGTGTTCTTTGTTTTTTGGGGTTTACTTTTGGTGTCCTTTCAATCCATATTCAGCCTTCTATGCCCCCCCCCACCCCCCCCCCAAAAAAAAACAAAAACAAAAAAAAAACATGAAATATAAAATTCTTTTTGTTTTCTGTCCAAAAGAAGTGACATCTATAGGCAAAAATGATGCTCTTCTTGCTTTGAGTGTGACATCGTCTTGTCAACATTATACAAGTACACATTCCTTGTGGATGGCACCTGCAAAAATACGCTGTTGTTAGTAATATTTTATAATTTGCACTGTAATGGAATGTTTAGTCTGATCTTAGTTTGCACTATTCTTTGAGACCCTTAGGCCTGCAGACAGGCAAGCGCACTGTCAGACAGAGTTTTTCCATTCTTACTGTTGGATTCTTATCCTGTCTGGTGTATATTTGTCTGAGCTTGACATAATTTATGCTGTGCTACAGTCAAACATTTATTTATTGGATGCTGGGGGGACTCTCTCTTGTGTATTGTATAATTTTCTATGTCTCTACTTAACACATAATAACATATACATTCTCTAAGTTATTGATATATTCCTGAAAAAGAGAGTAGCACATCTAGGTTAACTAAATATTGTGTTCCTTAACTCACGACCCTCATACTACCTGACTGCTGACCCCTGATTTGCTCCAGTGTCCAGTTGATAGAGTTATTATACGTTGCACTTCAAATTTCCTACCTACAGTTAATTTTGAAAATCAGCTTAACCGACCAATAGGTCACCGGTAGTTATCTGCTAGCAGCTTACTGACTTATCTGTAGGTTACGTTTGGCATTTTCAGTTATTAAGAAAACCTCATCCAATAATAATTATAACGTCAGCCTGAAAAGGAATGATAAAAGTCTTTCTTAATTCAGGCCTCTCCCGTTTCGTGCTACCAGTCGCTTGCATGGCTGTTTTCTCTTGCGTGCGTTTCTCTCGTCTGTCCAAGAAAAAAGTGCCTAGTTTCTATTTTTCTCCTTGCAGCTAAGTTTCTGACCGAGGAACTAGAAGCTCCTGCCAGTAAATTTTCACCCAAACAGAAGAAGACCTCGCCACCCAAACCCCAGAGGAGAATGGAGCATGCAGATTTCTCTGATGGGTATGATGCTGATGATGCCTCAGCAGAGGAGTTGGATGTGGAAATTGCTGAACGTCTGACTTACAATCATGAACAGCAAGGTACATAGCATTGCTGATCACTGATAGAGCAATTTTTCCTCCATGTTTCATCAGCCTTTTTAACCGAACAGTATGTGCTTTAGGTTTAGCAGTTGTTTATCAAACTTGCTGTAGGTGGGCAAAATTTTAAAATTCCATCTCTCCTCCGAAGAGGTTCCCACTGAGTCTTCCAAAAAAATTGCATCCTTCCCTGCATGCTTTCATTTTTCCCTCTCCCCAGCCCCCATGGACAAAAAGAGGCCCATGTTAGCGAGGGGAGAGTAAAATTCCTGTCCTCTGCCTCTTCTTCTGTCGACATACTTATGATGGAAATTACGACGATATCCCAATGATTGACGAAAACAGACGGTAATTTTCCGAAGAATGTCTTTCCCTTGAAGCATCGCGGGTATGGTGTCAAGGTTTTAGCCAGAGGGGTGTCCAGCCATCCTATGCACGCCCGTTTTTGGAAGAAATGCAAGGAAAATTCACTTAATCTCTTGAAATTTTATGGGAAAGCAGGCCCTCTGGACGGCCAGTTTTCAATGTCTGGCTAAAAGCCTGTGTGGCATTCACCTAATAAAAATGAGAATTTGTAAATGACTCCCTTTTCAATGCACTTCTGCATCTTGCAATATTGCCAACATTGATTCATTGTCCACTGGGTGGGGAGGGGGGTGGGGAGGAGCTTGACTCTATTATTATATAGTGGCTGCTTTTTCTTATTTGAATTGCTTGCATTGCAGACCATAGAGACTCTCCACCTCCCCCTGAGTTACCATCTCCTGCCTACAAATCCACTCCGAGGAAAAGAATCACAACGAGTACAATTACCACACGGCAGCATAGACGACATAACAACAATGGTGATTACGCAGCATTTAACGGCCCCGAGCAAACTGATTCGGCTGAAGTTATCGCAGTAAAGGAGCCAGCTAAGGTGGCAAAAGAAGAAGCCAGTATTTGTGGTCCTCACGTTCAAATTTTACTTGCAGTTTTAGTGTTTCTTGTGTTCATATCATTTTTAGTTTATTCTCTCATGGAGGATACACCTCGGGAAGGGTTTAAAGAAGTGCAGTGAAGCCATGGCCAGCACCAGAGGTTTAGTGTATTTATATTCAGGAACATGTGGTAATTGTATCAAAAACGAGTATGGGTGTGAAACATCCAGATACGGGTTAAAAGGCGAAGCCGAGTTTTCTTAAATGTTGGGGCATCCACTGAAACAAACTTTGTTAGTGTTCGACATGCTGTCAAGTCTCTCCGTTGGGGAGAGCACTTAGAGTCAACGAAAATAGACTGTAGATGGTGGGAACTGGCTATAGTTGGTAATGCAGGCCTTCATTTAGTGTTTACTGAGTAATTTTTCTTTTTAAAAGGGACTTATGTTCGACCAGGTCACAGGTTAGGTCAAAAAAGTTGTCGTTCGGGCATACATTTTGTTGACTTTTAATTTCGCATTTTAGTTATTTTGCACTTTATATTTAGGGTTTTGAAGTTTTCAATTTTCTTTAATTCTCTTTGTTGCTATTTTTCGCGGGGTCTTTTGTGGCACAACAACAAGCGAGTATTTAATCGGTTTGATCAAGTTTAAAATGCAGTGCGACAGTACTGTGCAATGTGCAAGAGAATTTTGTTTTTTTGGTCTCACAAACTGATAAAGACTGGATCGGAAAGATCTCCGTAGAAACGGAGCAAACGAACGGCCAAAAGTTTTAGTTTTATACATTGATGTTGTTGTAAAAAAAAGCACGGCTTCGACTTAATTCGTTTGTGTGTTTGCTGAGTGTTGTGTTGATGGTTTTGCGTTAGTATGGTTTATTTTCACCATTTCAAGAGAGCAAACACGTTAAAATTGAACTTTATGATGTTGAAGGTAAAAGCAGCATTCTATGAATGTATGATAAGGCCCGGTTCAGACGCCGAACTTTTCATGAGCCGAACCTAATTCGAATTAAGACCAACCCAAATCATTTAGACCGGCTGAATATTGATTCAGACGCCGATCTTAATTGCAGCTGAAGTAAGTCCAAAAGGCGAAAAATGCTCATTTCGGTCAAACTGCTTACAAAAAACGTTATAATAATTTATGCATTAGATTTGGTACATAAAAAGTTCGACGTCTGAATCAAAGCCGTTCCAAAGTCGCTACAAAGGCGAAATTCCCGGCCGGGCTAGGCGAAAAGAATGGCTGAGCCGTTCCAAATTGAAACAGGCGTTCCTAACTGATTCAGACGCCGAACTTTTCATGTACTTAATTCAATGTATTAGGTTCGGTTCATGAAAAGTTTGTCGTCTGAACCGGGCCTAAGATTTTCTGTACCCAGCCGCCTTGAGTTTAGACTACGAGTAGTCCCTATTTTTCCTCAGGGATAGTAGAGCGAGCGAAACGCGAGCGCGCGTGAAAATCACCCCACGCGAGAAAAGGCGACACGCGTGCGGCGGGAATTTTCGGTGTTGGCCGAAGGCCGAAGCCACGAGCGGTGAAGCCTCGAGAAAAAACGCGCTTGTCAATATAAAGACTTGACAGAAACCGGAGAGACCGGAGAGAGGGTTTAGTTTTAAATGCTTTTCAATAATTTTAGGGTAAATGTTTCACGAGATTTTGTCAAAAATTACACAAAATTAGTAAGATTCTGTGCATAAAAATGTGTAAATTCGTTGTTGTTTTATTTTATGGCCTGACCAATTTATCTATGATCGATTTATGTCGATTAGGGGATCAAGGGTGGCGCAGTTCTTGTTCCGCTTCAGTTTCGCTCCGAGGGTTTTTTTTTCAGGTACAATGGTTTTAAGCCCACACGTCACTGATGAGTTTCACTTCGATTCACTGCGTAATTGCTCATGTTTCTAGTATCTGTTAGTTTTGTGTGTATAGAATATTCCCGCACAAAATAGACTTGCCCACACCATGGATAATAGAAAGACTGTGTGGGCATTATCCATGCCCACACAAAGCGGAGCGCGTAAAATGTGCGCAAAACGCAAAGACTGAGGGTACAACGCAAGATTTATAACCGCGAAGCAAGAACCTCTGCCCCTCTTCAAACAGGAAAATGCATTTTTAAGGGCAGGGATTAGCTCTGGGGCTATTACTAGTTGCCCGGCCCCTTGTTAACCCTTTAGGTCCTAAGAGAGACCAAGATCAATTTTCTCCTAACAGCATCAGCAGATCATCAAGAGTAAAGGTTATGAGAATTACTAAATTGATTACCAAAAGGGAGATCGCTTTGATCTTAAACCAAATTCTCTCAACTATCCTTTAAAGAAAAAGGTACAGATCAGTCTGGAGAATTTGTATGTGGATCTTGGGGCTTAAAGGGTTACGGAACCGGATTCCGGAATCCGGGAAATTTTTGCTTGAGGAATGCGCCTCCCAGGAAATCTTTGCTTGTGGAATCCTGAATCCTGTGCTTTGGAATCGGAATACAACTCAAGGAATCCGGAATCCCGCTAAATCCCGAGTCCAAGTTCCACTGACAAAGATTCCACAATCCAGTACCTGGAATCCGGAATCGATGGCGTGGAATCAGAAATCAAAGTCTATCTTGGATTACCTTCCAGGCCCCGGTTGTTCAAAAGTTGGATACCGCTATCCACCGGATAAATCACTATCCAACGGATAAGTGTTAGGGAAACCAATTGCGCTATCCAGTGGATAGTGATTTGTCCGGTGGATAGCGTTATCCACGTTTTGAACAACTGGGGCCAGTAGGCGATACTAGGCTCCTGATAAGATTCATTTTAACATTTGGCCAACCAGCGTGACAACAGAATCTCTTTCTGATGCGACTGTGTCGTAACGTTACGAACCAGTGACCATGACCCTGGCTGCCATCGTTATTTGGTGTCTGACATTTACCAAATTGACTCTCGTCTGAGTGTAACAGAACTGCGAGACTTACTGTACGAACTGCCATGGTTTACACCGAGGATAGAAAGCCACTGAAGGCTGCAGACTGGGTTATCATCGCATTTTATTTCTTTGCTTGCATTCTAGTTGGGCTATGGGTATGTGTAGTGTTTCTTTTATTTGTAAAGCCAGTTCAAGGCAAATTTTCTCTGTATTTTCAAGTTTTTGTTGTAGTGTATGTGTTGAATTTAGGCCTGAGGACCTAAGAATCTTGGTTTTGAAACACTGTGAAGCGAATAAATCAAAGAGTACTACCCTTGCTGTATTGTAGGGGCCAAATGATGTGATTTGTTTGAGCGATAGTTTGTCTTTGAAATCTTTTAGAATGCTATCGTTCATTCTCTATTGACGTTTGGTTGGAATATGATATTTGATCGGTGTGAACAGCAGAAGAGTCAATTTCTGGATGAAAGCCATAATGATTGAAGGAAGCTAGTCAAACTAAATGCTCCAAATATCAGTCTAGAGCCTTTACTTTTCTGTATTAGGGTGTCTTGAACAGTTGTTGCAAAACGAATGCCCAGGACACCCAGCCAAAAGACCTCGCTTGCACAAAATACGTAGCACAGTTTGCGTGGTGGAAAAATGTTTATTTAAGCAAGTCAAGCTTCTTACTCTCATAATACGGCTTGTCGCTTTTTTGCAGACTAAATTTAGACAACAAAGAGGGAAAACTGAAACCGCTGAAACTTTCTTCTTGGCTGGCAGATCAATGATGTGGTGGGCGGTAAGTAGAGCCGTTGCGATCAAATTTACCCCTGGGAAATACAAAAATCCCCCTAGGAAATACAGCACGGTCCTGATCAGTTGAAAGGGCACTAGTAATGATAGAGATGTGCACTGACTGCATCGAGTGTGTTGTCTTGAGTTTGCAATCGCTACACATTTGGAAAGTTTTGAAAAAATAACTTCTTACATTTCCTTCTAATACAGTATACTGACAATGTTTTAAAATCTACAATGGTCATTAAGTATACCATTTTTACCAAAATGCTAAGTTAAGTGGACAAGTTTTGGACAAATAACCCAACATTTTCTTGCACGTTTTCCTTTTTCTATGGATGTTTTAGTTTGCTTTGTAAAACGAAATCCGTCTCTAAATGAATAAAACCAACAAAAAGAAATTCAACTTTTTTAAAAGACTTATAAGGGATCTTCCCGGAACGTGGGTAGTTCAAACTCTAGTGAATATTAAATGAGAATTTTAACAATCAATCCAGTCGAAACATTACCCTGATTGAATTGTTCAATAGGTTGGACCGAGTTTATTTGTCAGTAACATTGGTAGTGAGCACTTCATTGGATTGGCTGGATCTGGCGCGGCAACAGGGATTGGTGTAGCATCATATGAGTGGCAGGCAAGTCACGTGACTTTACTCACGTGATATTTCAGAAGTATTTTGACCGTACTTAAAAGTACCTAGAATGTATCCCGCTTGATTATTGTTTTTCAGGCGCCCTGGCTCCTACTGCTGTTGGGCTGGGTCTTTGTGCCAATTTACCTCAAATCAAGGGTGAGTTAACAAGCTCTTTGAAAATGCTTCCGAAAAATGTGATATAAACATAAAAGGAGTTACTTTAATTGGCTTGCATCTGTTGAATTTTCCTGCCAGCGAATTACAAGGGAAAAGAGACGTCTATTAGCAGGGAACTCGTGAATGGCAGAAAAACATTTTCTGTTCATGTTATCAACTTCTCCCCACTACTTCTGTAGGAAATGAATGGGGGCAAGAAAGAAGAATTCAAATTTTGATTTGAGGGTTTAAAGGGTTCAAGAGGTGGGGTCATATCAAAGGAACCTATTTTCCCTGGGCATGAGTGTTGACGAATGTCAGACTAGCTAACTTGCTTCCTAGCTAAATAATGTTATAAGTGTTCGTATTAATTTGCTTCTTTTGTGATTATTTCTATTAGATTTACACGACACCAGAATACTTACTAAAACGATTTCATAGCACCAAGATAAGGACTTGTTTGACAGCTGTGGCGCTCATATCATATGTACTCACAAAGATATCAGTAAGTAACGAACTAAGGAAATACTTGAAAATAAATTAAAGTACTGCCGGTGAGGGAACATTACCAAGAACGTTGAGTGAGCTAAGTTTGATCTTTACTCAGATAGATAGACAGACGCCTTTATTTAAAAATAAAAAAGTAGTTACACAGAGTAGTCCATTGAGGGAGCTTACAAAGCCTCCCTGGTATCAATAGGAGCCTTTAGTAATGGTTGAGTAACTTTTCATGCCGACGCGAAAAGTATAGTATTAAACGGGTCGAAGTTCTGCCACGCCGATCTCTAAAGTGGAGATTCACATGTCGAATAGGTGTTCATACCGTACCGGATAACTCTTTGTGTCCGCACTAAAAGCTCAGATCCGGTATAGTGTGAAAAGAAGGCGCTTTAGAGTAGAGGAGCAAGTCATGAATCTCGCTTCCGTTTTGGCAGGTTGATATCTACGCGGGCAGTGTGTTTCTGTATGAAGCTGTTGGTTGGAATATTTATGTGTCAGCAGCTGTGATTTTAGCCATCACTGCTGTCTACACTGTTCTTGGTAAGTTTCATCGAACATCATTGATACATTTATACATTGGTACATTTCTAGTAGTTCATTTGTACTTCATCTCTTTATCATCTGTACTTCATCTACACATTGGCTACACTTGATTCGTACGTCATTTGTACTTCATTTGTACGTCATTTGTACTTCATTTGTACTTCATTTGTACGTCACTTGTACTTCATTTGTACGTCATTTGTACTTCATTTGTACTTCATTTGTACTTCATTTGTACGTAATTTGTACTTCATTTGTTCTTCATTTGTACGTCACTTGTACTTCATTTGTACGTCACTTGTACTTCATTTGTACTTCATTTGTACGTCATTTGTACTTCATTTGTACTTCATTTGTGCGTCATTTGTACTTCGTTTGTACTTCATTTGTGCGTCATTTGTACCTCATTTGTACGTCATTTGTACTTCATTCGTGCTTCCTCTTAACGTCATTTCTTCTCTCCCTATACTTCATCTGTTCTTTATCGCCGAGTGATTCATTTGTACTTCATTTGTACTTCACAAATACAGTGGAACCCTGCTTTACGGATACCCGCTTAATACGGACATCTCGTTATTACGGACAGTTTTCCCTGTCCCTGGGGAAAGTAGGCCCTCGCAGTTTCGCGCCCTGTTAGGGTAAAATTCTGACAAGCGACATGGCCTTGAAACAGCGAAATAAGCCTAGATGAAATGGCAACAAAGGATATAAAGAAGGGATAAATACCGACAGGGACACTGCCTACTCCTTAAAACGTCCCAAGCTTGTAAATAACTCGAGCACTTTTTTGTAGGTGGTCTGACGGCCGTTTTCTTCACTGATGTATTGCAGTGCACTATTATGGTTATTGGTGGCATCGTTGTAGCCATAATGAGTAAGTAGGGCGCCCATAGTGTTTGTACGAATTCTATTTGATTTTAATACTTTTTCTCCGTATAAAAATGATTTGCAAGCTTTCTTATTCTCTCAAGGGAGTATTTTTAGCGAATCTTGGTTGGATAAAAACAAGACATTTATGTCCTAAAAGAGAGATGGTAAACGGAAAGTTTTCAGCTAAACTAGTTATTACGAACTCCACTTTGAGTTGTTGACGTAAATAAGGTTGCCGGATGTTAATCCGAACAATCATTACAATGGTGATTAAGTTGATTTATTTCTACCTTGAGGTTTTGCAAAAGTTGGAGGATTGGATGGTCTGTGGAGTAAATTCGGCTCCTCGATGGGTAAGCCCCTGTGGTCGACACCCTCTTCGACAAACATCCCTACAACTGGGACCTCTGTGGTAAATTCTAATCTCAGCTCAACAGCGGCAACAACAGTAGCAGATACTCTGGGCAAGAGCAACGACACAATTGATAGTTGTTACAAACTAACACCCTACTGGGGTGATCTGTGGAGGCCGGTTGATGATCCAGACTACCCCTGGTTAGGATTGTGGACGTCTTTATTCATTACTGCTGTTTGGTACTTCTGTACAGATCAGGTAACTCCGGCTCGATGTTATAATCATACCTTAGTAAAGCAACTTTAAAAGCCAATAGGCTCCCTTTTAGGTTACGATAGCCTGGGGAAGAAATTACCCAGTCCCTAGGCCTCATTATGGACATTATTCCGCGGGTTCCACGGGGCCTATGCGTTTGGGATCACGTGGTCCGAGCGTTCGTCTCGGATACGTCACCAAAATGCGTTGACCGAGAAGGCCTGGGAAGACGCCGTACAGGGGCTAGGTAATTGAAGAAAGACAGCGAAGAAAGAGGTTTGTCGCCATCGAACTATCCAAATTTTAGTTTTGGGGCACGACTTCTTTACTAAGCATACCTGTCATCTGAAAATTCAGGTCCTTGTTCAACGAGCCTTGGGCGCCAAGAACCACATCCAAGCCAGAGCTGGTACCATTTTTGCAGGTTTTTTGAAAATTCTTCCCATGTTTGTAATGGTAATGCCAGGAATGATCAGTCGAGTGTTGTTTCCTAACAGCATCGCTTGTCACGACCCTAAGAGCTGTGAAATCGCCTGTGATAACAGATGGGGCTGTACCAACAATGCATATCCTAAGTAAGTTGAGCAGTGAGTAGTTTTTTTTTTAATGATAATAACAGCGATAAAAATATGTTAAGCAATACTTGTCAAGACAAATTCCCGTTCCCATGAGCTGCAAACTTGCTCTTGATAGCAGTTGGGGATGAAGGCGATAAGAAACATTCTAAACATATTGTGTGTTTGATAACTCTGCTTGCTAAAAATGTGGCCAACATCGCGTGTCGGGATAATAGAGGGGGAAGCTACTTGGAATAGCTAAGAGAACAGAGGGAGTGCATCGCATTAAATAGACCGGGGGAACCTGACCCATTAGTTTGTGGTAGGGTTGCCGCGCTGAGAGTTTCAAACCTGAGCCTATTTAGCAGACGAATGAAATCTAAAATATCCACCTCATATTGGACAATAACCTCGGTTTTAGAACCCTGTTCACGACAGTGGACAAAATGCACGCTCCTCTGTTTCTTTAAGAAACAGTAGACGCGTTTGAGACAGGGAGGTCAAATTTATAGCATACCCTCTCCAGTGGCACGTCTCATATAATAAGAAGGTGCCCAGCCATGACTTCTTAAAAGCGGATTGGACCGATATGGTTTTTGTCGGGTAGGTTGGTGTTGAACATTCTTCCCACTGGAATGGTTGGACTGATGTTAGCAGTAATGATGGCTGCCGTCATGTCATCCCTTTCCTCAGCATTTAACAGCAGCGCTACCATCTTCACCGTTGATGTATGGCTAAGGCTCAGACCACAGGTAGTTAACCACCCCAGAAACTACAGTTGAACTTCTCTACAAAGGCCACCTTAGGGCAGAAGAAAGTGGCCGTTGTAAAGAGGTGGCCGTTGTAGAGAGGTTTAAACAAGACTCAATGTATGGGTTTTTTTCCCGCCGAAACGAAAAAATGTGGCCGTTGTAGAGAGGTTGGAAAAGCGCTAGTTATGATTGGTCGATGGTATTCAAGGCAACCGTCAACCAATCATAGGTAACGCTTGTCTTCCCAAATGATCCCAGAAATCATTGCGCCGAAAGCTTGTACACATATCCCTAATAGTTCATAAAGATCTTTTTATTTTGTCAAAAGGCCAACTAAAGGTTCCCTTTTATCCAGACTTCTCTCTCGCTTTCGCAAAGAATTGTGGGACGGGGAAAGCGGGACGTCTCTTTACCCGCCTTTCTTTTCCGATGTCTCTCGCTTTGCTTGTTTCCAGTCTTCGCCTTATCTGGTGCGCGTCTCGAAGCGCCCGTGAAGGAAGATGCGCCAAAGGTACACCGTGAACATTAGAGGAAAACAGTGAAAATGAAATTCAAAATAGTCTATGACTCAAATTGAATATCTTGCTATTTGAG